TGCTTATTAGCATGAAGTATTATTGTATTCATTACCACTTAGACATACTGAGCAAGTAAGTAAACTTAATATTACATCGTATATTGCTACGATTTAATAATGCTGCGAAGCACAATGATTCCATTTCAATATTTCGTACACCTAAATCATACAAATGATTGAGGAATGCAAATTTTTGTTCCACAGTGTAATCACAGAATGCGCCATCCATTCGTGCCTGACCTAAAATTGTAGCCTGATTCATGGATATAACAATATATGAATGCCCATTTCTCATTATCATTGTTATTACAAAAAACTTTTAATACAAATATTTCTCGCAGCAATTTATCACGAAATACAATTGCTATGCCTCATTTTTTATTTTTATTTTTGTACTTACTTGTGTTTACGTAAAAGAAACAAAGTCATATTCACCTTCGTAGAAATCATCTGTGCAAAAAGTCTTGCCCACTTGAACAGGTAGATTTAGTTGAATAGCAGTTTGTTGTAGTTGTTCAAGCACCTCTGCATCAAAATTAGCTGACCTTAAAACCTTTAAAACAACTTATAGTGAAACTATAACAAAGCATACTACAGTTGTAATATTTTCATAATAATACTTGATCCATGATCAATAGTTTTCAATAAAGTACTCACCTTTTTGCCCATTATATATTGCACATATTGATCCTGCAATTCACCGTTTACTGCTTTATTAGAAAGTATCAAGGTACCAGGCGGTAAACCAAGACCTCCTGAAGTACCTATTCGGATCGCTACCACTTCTTTTGCCTTTGCATGATGCAACAGTTTTATTACTTCGACAAGTATGATACTTAACGAAGGGATACCTATGCCATGCTAAAATATTCACCAAAAATTCTTCAAATACTAAACATACTTGCCTTTTTACTAGACATAGAATTGAAAGTATGACCCATATTAGTAATATTTTTTTCATCACTATGCTTTAAAAATTCAAACAAAATAAATAAATAAAAAAACTCAGCACCAGTAATACTTATGATTTTTGAAAATATTCAGTTAATTATCATTAAGTTAGCTTTCAATACTACTAGTACATCTACTCTTCTAATTATACAATACGCAGAACAGAAGTAGAAGCATGATAAATTGCTTCTGCAATATTTCATCGTATTTTTCGAAAACTTTATATCAACAGAAGCAGCAAATTCAAGAGAAGCAACTGACATTGACCCATAAAACTTGACCAGTTTTGTACATCACATAACGGTCAGTTTTGCAAAAATTCTCAGACATTTTCAAGTTCATTTGCTCGGCAAACATTTCTGCATACTTTCTGATCCGTCTTTCGCTTCCCCCCATGCATAGGAACTAAATAATGTTCTGATATATAGCCATCTTGATAATCTTTTACAAATACAAGTCATTTTTATAAAATAAATGAATATTCCATTTAAGAAAATTTTATTTTCCACAATGAATAATTATTATGCTTATGTGTGTCACTACTTTTAATGCTTAGTCAAAAAGTGTTTTGGAATCAACAATAAAATTATTGTTTATGGTGGAAAAGAATCAGTCTTATCTGAAATCAAGTCAGCAACATTAATGTTTCAGAAACATTTTAGTTTGTGACAAATGATATCAGTAACCATGAATCTGAATACACAAATTAAGAGCAGTGAAAACAATTTCACCGTATCATTATCACATGTAGAAATACAGAATGTATCAGTAAATATTTCAAATTCAACCTTAACATCACCAAAAGTCATCGGAAGATCTAGCATACTTTTAAAAATACCAAGATGACACAAACAGTCATCCAACTGACTATCTAAATTTGGATTACTGATTTGAACCATTTTGTTGTCACTCATTGCTTTGTTTGTCTCTAAATTATAAACATTTTTAAGACAGTATTTATTACAGTACTAAGATATAACTCTAGCAAATAAAAAAAACAAAGACAAAACTGCATATAAAGCAAAAAGAAAAGTAAAAAATGCATGTAAGCAATTGGCTCAGTAAGATTGCTTACACATAACACATATGTAGAAATGAATCATTTATCGAAATTCCATTCTACAACAAAATAAATTCTGCTTCTGCAAAAACATGCATGCCACAGAATAGATAAAACTGAAAAAATTGTTAGGAAGGAATTCATACAAGGATCACATCCATCTGCACTACCATATCTACTATAAACACCAACAGAGTGTACAGTTTTTGCTCTCTCCATTAGTCATCATCAATTCAATTCATAAATTCTATCTTACTCCTAACCCATGTCTGTCATAAATGCAAAATAATAATAAAAACTTTCATTTTTCGCTAAGACAAATATTACATCTCCACAATAAGCTACACACTGTAATTCATCTTCTACTACATTATATTTTCCCAAGCTTTATTACTCGTTCATAAATATTAAATTGGAATAAAGACTTTTAACAAGTAGCTAAAGCAAAAGTTTAATTATTATCATGTCAGATTAACTCAAGTAGTACAGTGTACGATATTATACATAACGACATAATTATTTGATTACTGTTGATAACAACCTATCAAGAATATTCGTTCTTTCATTAGCAGGCAATTTTTTACGTACTTTCCAACTCTTATCAGAATAATAAATTTTTCTCATTTCAAAAATTATACAATGATAATGAAAAATTTCCAGCCATACTAGATTTTTCAGCACATGTTATTCTGCTCCTTATCATGTCAAATTAACTCAATTAAACAATATACATAATGGCATATATATAGTAAATTGAAATTATGCACAGTAATAACAGTTTAAAATTAAGTAAATTTAGACTAAAACTTTTTTTCATTATCATGATGACTTACTTATCAGATAATATATAATTATTTAATTATAGTACAAACAATTCAACAATTTGTTTGTACAATTCCACATATTTGCACACTTGTGCTAGTCATTATGCCCAGAAATAAGCTGAAAAAAATTAATAAACCATTGCAAGCAGCTAATATTCATCCCGCTCAATATGCAATCTTCGCCCAGCTAAAAAAAATCAAATCAAATGAATATACAAAACAAAAACAAACAAGCAAAGAAACTAATTACCCTCTGCAGATATTAATTGCATTTTGTTTAAATAATTTACGTAAGGAAATTGGACTAACTGAATGAATTATATGTCATGACTTAGTTTCTAGTCAAATCGTTATTCATAAAACAAGTCTACCGCCCAGTTCACGTGAAATACAATACATTACAAAGCAAGTGATACCATATAATCCCAACCTCATGTGTTTAACAAGACTCAAGTTCCGTCAGTAAATAATATTCAGACCACGAGCAATTAGTGAATATTCATATTAAGTGCTTTTTTTATCAAGTGCTATGTGTAAAATAGATTGCTGCAATGATATGACCACAGAACAATTTTTGTTATAACTCATATTTTAATATTTTAGTGAGTTGTAAATATCAAATCACTGAAATACTTATGTGCTGAGAATTTCAGATCCTTTATTATGAACCACAGAGTTAGAGGCATATATTTCATAAAGTCGAAATTATTTACACTCTGATATAAGTTGGAGAAGCATATTCATAAGGAATATCACAGCAAGCAAAGGATATCAAAGTTTTTGCATTCGAAATTTTTGCCAAAAACCTTTAAACAAAGCATGTGCATACCCATGGTCATCTATTAAGGAAACGAAAATAAGCATGATTATCAGTCAAAAACATATATAATTCCAGTCCCAAAATAAATAGCTAAAATTGAAATTGAGTACAGTAAACAATATATTATCCGCCCTCACAGTTTTCCTAACAAACTACAGATACTAATAACTCTTGAGAAGGACTAAATAACAATTTTGTTTATTCAGAAAATTACTCTTAATAAAGTACAAATTGCAAGCACACAGGATGGAAATTTAAAGACTTTTATTACCAAGACAAAAACTGATAAATATTGAGGAAGGCTATATTTCAAATATAACAGGGCACGCTGAACAGACAGTAGTGACTAACTCAAAAGTGAAAATTTTTAACAGAAGAATAGTGGCTCACTAGAACTGTTCAAGCCTTTATGTCTTTCAAGCATAATAATTAAAAAATTAGCACTGCAATCTGATACAAACTTTCCACTATACAAACTTACTACACTATCATCTTTATTTATTTATATTTATAAATAAACTGCTGTTTTTTAAATCATGATACAAAACTGTTTTGCCTAAAAAGCAGCCTCATAAAAACAAATTCTAAATATAGCAATTTACATATGCATAATACTCAAGTTTACAAATTAAGTGTTCAGAATTGAGCGCAAATCAGTTATGGATGATGGTCCTGAATGCCTTAAAGGAACATTTGATGAACGGATAGTTTCCTTTTCATCAGCTGGCTGAAAAAGTTAAATTCCAATTAATTTTTATGCTCTTTTAAATAGAAGTATAATAATAAAAATTCCTTTATGAATGTTTTATCTGACAAAGGACCTTTCGATTTTCTTCAGTAACAAATTCCCTTGCTGCGTAATAAACAGCATTCTTAATAATCGAAATCACAAACTTTACATACTATTTTGCCACTGTTAGCTCAGAAACACTTTCAGTCAAATGAAAATTTGAGCAAGCAAAATTAAATCCAAGCATTAACTACCGACTGTAAAAACAAATTGTATTCAGATTAGCAACTAACAACAAGAAAATTGCAATCTTCAAGCTATCTCACTATTTTGTTTCAAATTTTTTTCTCTTTAGGTTGTATAAATATGCTGTCACCAGTTCCATAAATAGCTACTTTGGATCCCTGGAAATATTTCCTATTTCAAAAATATGAGAAATTTTTCAAAAGAGAAAAAGGCAAGATACAAAACATTTGACATCTGAAAATATAGTAGGGTACAGCTACAGCTCAAAACTTGGTTAAAGCTGTACAAAAGTGAGCTGAGATTAAACAAGTGAAAGTCAGAGAACCAACCTGGACAGGAAGAGAGTGTGGGGTTACAGCAGATTCTTTTTCTAAAAATCGAACAAACTGTTCGGCTAGAGAAATACTGGGCTGAGGTTTTGATGAACTTCCAAAACTAAACCATCCTCTTGATGATGAATTTACCGCAGAATTAATTTTAGCTACATCCTGAAAAGTGGATATAGTCCATTGAAGACAACAAAGATTATTTCGATGTGAGACAACAAAGAAATCCTTTCTTCTGTTTAATATTTCGGTGAAAGCGACTATCTCACCTCTTGTGAATAACCTAGTACAGAGGCTAATAAAACGGCGATTTCTGGTTGTTTATCTTTGTCTGCAGTAAAATACGATAAAAAAAGCTGACGAAGCACTTGATCGTCAACGATATGCGACGAAGTTGATGGCTTTACTGCTTGCGCACGCTCATCAAGACTTGTTTCTAGTTCTTCAATCAACTAAAAAATAACAATTGAGAAAAAAACGTTAAAATAAATAGAATAGCACATGCCAAGATTGCATGAGAACCAAGATTTTGGGACAATTCATCTATGAATAATTAGCTAAAAGCAATATGATTTACCATATCCTTTTTGCAAACTTCTTCTTTAAGTTGTTCAGTTCTATTCTCCAAAAGTTGTTTCTCTTGTTCCATAGTAACTTGTGTTTGCCTAAGTTCATACATTTCCCTTTTTAAATCCTAAAAATTAAACATACATAAAACGTCTTTCAAAACTCATGAAAAATTAGTATTAAAGTTAGCAAAAAATTAGGAATAAACTATGAATATACTTCTAATTTTTCAAGAGAAAATGGAAAAGAATTTTAAAAACATCAATATTAACATCTAAAAATGTATTGTGGAATAAAATTCGAAATTCAGTTAAAATGACTGATTGTTTGAGAAATATAAAAGATGCTCGTCAAAGAAAGTTAATTTGGAACTGAAACTAAATAACTTGAATGTGAAAGAATACAAGAATACATCGATATTTTTCTTCAGCTCAGTAGTAGTATTTTGATGCTGTGCCATCTGTCCTTCATGATCTATTGCAATATCACGCAAAACATTTTGTAAATTTGAAAGTGCCATTTTGGTATCAGCCAGTGCATTTTCTCGCTCCCGTAATCTTTCAGTGATGGTTTGTTTTTCATTCCTTATCAAATTCAATTCTTCGGTCAACTCGCTGATTTGTCGCTATAACTTATTTCAATAGTCTATAAAAAAAAGTACTTCGAATGAAAACCAAAAAAAAAGGAAAAACCTCCTGCATTGAAAGCCTTTGATTAATTTTCTTGCAGAGGAAACCAAGGAAGCAACCATTCAATAGAATCATAATTCCAAGAATAAATAACACTGTTTCTTGCTCTAAACTTCCTATACTACATGAATTTGCATTTTCATTTTATCAATGGTTCATCATGTCATGCAAAAATCTTTCTTTTCCATGAATTTTCGGAGTGTTATTTGTCTTAACAATTTAACCTTGTATGCACTAGTAGATTCAATGATATTATCTACTGATTCCTCAGCTTTTTGTTCAAGTGTTCTGATTCTTTTTCTTAATTCCATTTCGCGTTCTTCCGCACTCTTTGCTTCCTTAACTGAAGTCTCTTCAACATTCATCAAATGACTGCGTAAACGTTCGCAATCTCTCATCACTTTTTCCCGAGATTTAGTGGAACTAGAAAAAAAAGGTTGCAAGAATAAATTGCATCCAGTGGTTTTTGAATTATAAAACAGAATTTTAACGAAAAAAAATAAAACTTTTTAAGGTCGCGATCCAAACATAATGCTCTCTCCGTAGCTGCTGCAGCCGTGAGACTTAGTTGTTCAAGTTCACAGGAAACATTTTGCAACTGCATTTTGTAATCGCTACACTGTAATTCCAATTTCTGAAGCTTTGAAATATGTTCAGCTCCAACTCGCTCAAGTTCTTCTAACTGTGTCGCTGTCTATAAAAAGCTCAATACAATCATATGTAACAACAAGAGTGTTTTAAAAACATTAAGAACAAATGACTCACGAAATAGAAGGCAGCAAGTCTACCAACCAGTATTAGTAGCACAACTGCTTGAATACTATTGAACTATTTTTATAATACAGTAAAATAGAAAATTTTCATACAGAACTCAATTAATTAAGAAGTCAAACATTTTAAGGACAAAAGGAAGATTTTTGGACCTCATCAAGCTTTTGCTGCAGCTCACGATTTTTTCTCTCCAGTTCATTCTGTCTTATCGTTGCCCTCTCTACATCTTTTTTATATACCATTTCGATACTTTTTTTGGTTTCCTGAATCAAATAGAAGCTGACTAAAAACAATGTATAAACTTTAAAAAACCACTAATTTGAAAAATGAAAAGATATATGTGTTGAACTGACAATTTCAAATTCTTCTTTAGCGTCGTACTCTTTTCGTAACTTCAATAACTCGTCTTGTGCAAGTTTCCACTAGAATAGACTATAGAAAATTTTAGGCATGAAACTTTGATTAATAGCATTAAATGTGAATAAGAAAACAAAATAACATTGCATTATCAAAAATGAAAGACATAATCATTTCAATGATCACAAGAACAGAGAAGTTGAAAAAAATGAAATAACCTTCGATGCTTACATGAAATTCCATAAAAACATGGAGTGAAAATCGAAAAACATACTTTCATTTCAAGGTCTTGGATTTCATATTTGTGTTGTGACTGAGTTCTATGCAGCGCTTCCTCATGAGCTTCCTTTTGCTGCTTTATTTTTTGTTCATAATTTCCTACCGCATGTTGCAGCGAATTGATTTCCTCCATGTTTTTTAATTCGTCCTTAAAATATTTTGCACACCACTATTGATTATTTCACTGAGAGGAGAGAAAAATTTTCACTCCAAATCAACGTAAAAATTGAATCTTTTCCACTATTTGAAACTTAAAACCATACTAAGTAACCATTTGGAAAATCGAAAATTCATGAGTTAATAATCTAAAAAATTTCTGTAGACATTACCTTTTTTCGATTACTTTCACTGATTTCCAACTGTCCCTGTAGTTCAGCTAGTTTCTGCTCGGTAGCAGAAATAATCTGTTCCAGTTGTAGATTTTGATGTTTTAATTCTTTTGCCTACAATTACTCTTGAGGATTTTAGGCTTAATTTGCAGTGCCAAACTTGAGTTTAAAAAAAACAGCAAACTTGTTCTGATAACTGGGAAAAAGTGTCCATATCTTACTGTTTAGATTCCAACATGTTGTTTTGGATCCTTAGTTCATTTATGCAAACTCGATGTACATCTAACTTCAATAATTTGTTCGACAAAAAAGGAGAACTAAAATTATTATCCAATGATAAGGCACACTTTTTTATTCATCTCGCAGTTTTGTCTTCTTAGTTCCTCACACTCTTCAGATTTTTCGGCTCCAGCAGCCAGAGCTTCTCGCAACTGATTCGCAATAGTTGAATTATTCATAAAACTTGATGATGATAATCCAACTGTTGTCACATCCCAATCCATTAGCTATTAACAAGATTGTTTTCTTTAACTCAAGTTGAAAGAATTTACAAGTTTTTATTTGAATGTATTATAAATTGCTTTATTTTTCCTATGAAGAAAACGTATTCAAAATGAATGAAGTATTTCTAAAATTTCTGAAAAAAATAAACCTGGAAAACAAATACAAAAATAAATCTGGAAAACACTTCCTTTGCAAAAAATCGCAGAAGAAAGTCAATTTCTATCATTTACTTGTCCCAGTGATCTAGTTCAAAGAATAATTATCACTAAATTCAACAATTTTTTTTTCACTTTTAAGTCACAAATACCTTTTCCCATCCATTATTGGAGTCGGCAGTGCCTTCGCTGCTAGCTGTTTTGCCCTCATCACTTTTTGATTCAACCATTTCTGCAGGCAATGTTGCATCAGCTGAACGAATCTGTCGTAACGATGTCTCTCGCTGTCGTTCTTCTAACTGACGTTTTGCATCGTCACGTATCTCACTTAATTCTAGCAGCTGTTCACGCCACTGTTTTTCCTTTAAACATATCAGTGTTTGATTAATTCATGCAAAGAAAATGAAACTTGAAAGAGCAAAATTAAACATCTTGAAATATTTGGTACGGAAAGTTATTGTTTTAAAAATATATGCATAAATAGTAATTTCTATTTTACTTCGACAATAGTATATTATTGAAATCCAACCTTTAACTTATGTTCATCTTGAAGTTGTGAAAACTTTTCTCGGAGAATTTTCAGCTCACTGCCACTCGTTTCTAACATGTTTCGAATTCCTTTAAACTCATCTAAACTAACACTCATTGCTTTGTTCTCTTTCGTCAATTTATTATTCGATTCTCTGCAAAACTAAATAAAAATACAGACAAAAACGACAGAACCAATATAGGGAACAACTAGGGCGATAAATAGACAAAAATTCTACACCTTAATCCATTTAGCTCATCTTCTACAGAAACAACAGCCAGCCTAAAGTGCTCAACGCCATCCCGAAGTCTTTCTCGATCACGTTTTGAAGCCTCTAATTCTGTACGCAGCATATCAACTTCATCCTAAAATATTTCAAATATTTCACTGAGCTTATTTTTGTTTCCATTAAAATCAAAGCAAAAAAATTTTTCTTTTCAGAAATAAATTTCAATGCTTTCAAGCCACATAAATAGCGTATTAATGACTGTACAACATACTATAACATCCAATTCATTATTGGACTTTGAAATGTCGAACGACATGCGTAATTTTTCAAATTCATCCGAAAGTTTTACAGGTCTATCAACAGTTGATGCATTTTCAGCTTTGCACATTTTGTATTGCTTCTCATATAGAGTAAGAACTGCTTCCAATGTGTCTATAAGAAGCTCAAAGTTTCGGAAAAATTCAACTTTTGAAAATTTTGTGTTTCGAATCATTAAACAGATTAATAGTAAGGAATCGGTTATTTCATTCTCATATTTTATTACGGTGATTGAATAACCAATTTATTAACTTACACTTCAGATCATAATCAAATGTTCTAAGTTAGCTACTATTTATTGATGATATTCGATTCTCATAAAATATTTATTTTAGATTGCGATCAAAAAGTAAATCAAGTCTTTGGAAATCCAAATTTTTTTACTTTTCAACGCGTAAAATTTTAACTGTTCAAGTTTGAAACTTAAAATAAGAAATGTTAATGATTAACAAACCAATGCGAGTAAGTAAAAGATGATTCGATGTGGCAAGGGAATCGTGATCTGCCTTGTAATTTTGAAATTCAGCATTCAATTCACCAAAGGCTGTTGCAAATTCGTTATTCCGGGTCCTATAAAAGTGATATGAAAACGGACAGGCGTTAATTTGCTATAAGCCAAAACCGGACCGGTTAATTAGGGAAACAGCATTTATGAAGCAAATTTTGTCCCCCTACTCAAGAGTAAATAATTTTTGATTCGCCTGAGACAACTGCTCATTGGATTTCTTTTCTGAGATTTCAAATTTTTGTTCCCAATTCTTAATTTCCATTTTGAGCTGCCTAATAGTTTCTGCCATCATCAGTTCCTGATTGCGCTTCTCATCTTTTAACGAAATTTCCGAAATTCGCATTTCGTTGATTGTTTGTTGCAGATTTTCAATCTCTACTCTGCAAGAATTCAATTAATTTAGTGCTCTAATGAAAATCAGATAAAAAATTCGAAAACAGCAACTAAAAAGACTAACATTACCGCAATGGAACCAAGATTACTAATAATTTCGAGGACTACATGTCTCAGCTGCACCCCACTAATACTATGATTAAATGCTAACCCTTTATCAGCAACTTCTTTTTGTGCATTATCCAGTTTTTCTTTCAACATTGCATATTCATTTTCGATTCTACCATAACGTTCACTTAGCACTTTATCAAGAGCTTGAAATGTCAAAATGTCAACTTGATCTTCTTGCACTGCATTTTCTTCCTGTTCAAGCTTGATCTAAATTTTCTTTCTTATCAATTTCTGCACTGATAGTTTAAATTTACAAAAAACAAGTGATTTTCATTTACTTGCTTTTTTTTTATAAAGAACAGAAGAATCTTTAGTCAGAATTAATATTAACTGTAAACCCTTCATATTTACTAATTTTTGGTGTATTAAGAATTAAGAAGACAGAGAATATATCAAAACTACAGTAATAACTAAAACAATACTTCTCAACATGCTTCTTAACTGTTTTTACCTTCGTTAACAACAAATTTCGTTCTTCCGACAGTGAACGTATTTCTTCTTTAAGGGCAGCTATTTCTGAATCATATTCTTCACTAGTGAATCCACCGAACTTAGATTTACTTTCATTGTCCTTCAATCACAAAGTAGAAGCAATGTGGTTCCAAAACCAATGAAAATTCTCACTTCTCAGCAAGTAAGCAAATGAAAATTTTATAATAAAAGACGGATTTTTCAAACACAGTTCAAAATCTTAACAGATAAGAAAGACAATTATCATTCTGGAAGGGAAAATTACGTTAACCCATTAACCTGGCATTCTTCTTGATTAAATTTTAGTTCATCGACTGTCGCTTTATGCGCAGCTACCAAAGCCGCAACTTCATCCTCATATTTTGTTTTCTGTTCAACCAAAATACGTTCAAGTTCTGATATCTACAAATAGATTATTTATACATAAGGTACTAAAAAGATATAAGAAATGAATAGGTTGTGTCACCAATTTTGATTTTTTTGAAAAACAAAATGTTGAGTAGTTCATCAAAATTGTGCTTTTAAACTATTCCGAACGACTACAAAATAACCTTTTTAGCATCACTTTCTTTCGGCTGTTCATTGACGAAACGCTTCCAGTGAGCAACTTCCTTCCGAAGTTGCTCGATTTCATCTTTCATTCGAGCTAAACGAGCACCACTTGCCAAAAATAATCCATCATCGTCTGCGTCACTGTAAGCTTCCGGGCTCGCATGATGCATCTGTTCTAATTCTGCCTACAACTTGACATTTTGACAATAATCGAAGAAAGTGGTGAATTTAGAAAACGTTAATTTTGCTATAATAAAAAAGTTTGAACTTTGAAAGATTCTATTTGTTTTTTACGCCAATAAACTGATAGTGATAAAGTGATTAGCAAAATATCTCATAAAATCTTGAAACTACAAGAGTATACTTATATAAAAGTCAATATCAGTATTTTACTTGGAGGGAACGAATTTGACTATCACGACTCTCAATTGCGCTACTATATCTTGCATTTAGTGTATCCACTTCCAAATTTTTGGCATACAGATCATCTTCAAAATTATTAATTTTCTTTTCTAATTGTTGAACAATTCCTTGTTGCGCAGTGAGCTCTTTTTCCATTTCCGATATCTTTTTTTTAGCAACCTGGAAAAATGTTTTATCACCAGTGCTCGCTTGTAAGCAATTTCAATTTTACTACTTTTTTGTCATCAAAAAAAACTTCGTAAGGTGATAATGAATCAGTGATTTTAAAGGGATAGCTCAGATAAATATGTCAATTTAACGCTTGCTAAATATCTTTATTTGGTTTTTTAAATAAAATTACAGGAGAGAAATGAAGAGTTTACTAAATGGAAGTCCTGATAATTGATAATGAATTTTTTTACATGACAAAATTGTGAACTTACTTTGATTAGTTCACAGAACTTACAAAAAGATAAAATCAAGTGTATACAATCTTATATAAATGAGCTAATATAGGTAACAAAAGTTGATCTTACCTGTAGTTCACTTTCCGGGTCATTAACCTCTTCTATAGCTTCGCTCAGTACTTCCGAAGCAAATTCTGACAAATGTCCTTGAATATTGCGTAGCCAAGAATTCATTCTTCACGTATATCTTATATTAAATCCAGCAAATGAAAGAAAAAACAATCAAAATCTGCTAACTACTGCAAATGGAACATATTACAAATACCCCTCCGCTAACTTTTCTTCAAATCTTTTCCTTCTTTTAATTACCCGCAATAACTCTTAACAATTTATCGTTTTAAACCACCTGCATTCTAATTCAGCTTTATGGCATTTTATGTTATTAAAATTTTTATTTTGGCTTGCCAATTATTTATACTCTTAAAATTTGTGTTTATTTTTGCTTGCTGAATTATTTATATTCTTACTGACAACACTGCAAGTTGTAAAAATTTTAATTTGGAAAAACAGTTTTATCTGTATTTTTTGAATACAAATATTTATTTTCTAAAAACATTTCGAATAAAGAATAAATCATTTAATGATTTATTAAGTCTGACTTTGATAAGGTTATTACTTTGTTTCTGTCTTCCTAAAAGCAAACTAATGCTTATGAAAAAGTGATTTTTCGAATTTAGCATAGAAAATAAACGTAATAAAAGTGTCTTAAACGTAATATAAGTGTCATAGTTGAATGTGAGGGATTAATTAGTTCCGTGTAGTGACTTGGAATTTTTTTTTAAACAATCGTTATAGTACCTTTATATACGGATTTTATTGCATTTTAATCTGCATTCTGTGGTTAGATTTTTTCAAAAATTTTATGCTGCTGTTGAAAACAATTTCATGGTGTATTTGGTCAAAAACTTGTACAGTTTCTAAATGCTTGCAATTTTTTCTATTTTTGAGCATTGTGATGTTTTGAACTGTAGAGCAGTACGTATATTAATTGTATATTTTATTTTGTCTATTATATTTTTTTATCTTCTTAAGTATTTTATATTTATTTGATTCGCTGCATTGATTTCTTTCCATATTTTTAGGTGTGAAAATGATGCTCAGGAAATATTGCTTATTTATGTTCATTGTGAATCTATCATTTACTGATCATGTACCTCCACGATACATGATAGATTTAGATTTGGCTCCAGAGCTTCGTTGGCTTAAGGTTGTTAATGACTACAAAGAATTTCTGCCAGCAATTATAAAAGAAATCAAGTGACTGAATTATGCTGTTTTCGTATTTGTTTTTGTAATTTTTTTATACATTATTGCAATTAGTAGTGAAAGAATTTGCTTATCTCTAATTAAAAATTGGTATTATTTATTGCAAAATATGTGGCTTTTTGTAAATAATGCAATTTCAGCATGTTCGTTCCGAAGTTTTTTCGTCGAATTGGATGGTGGCTCAGTAGAAATATTCTTCTTCGAAATTTTCCTGATGAATACATACAAGAAATGCAGGGTTCTCTTAATTTGTAATGTTGATGATATTAGTGATAGCAATAGTTATTATAAAAGTTGCAGTGGAGCTTAGCTTTTTGTAAGTCTAAAAAAAATCTAAAATAATCACTTGGTATATAGTAAATTATAAAAAATGGTAATATGTAGTGAAATTAGATTTTGAAAACTTGTTTTAAAACAAAATTTAAATTTTCGACTGTTTTTAAATTTGAGATGTTTACAGAAAGCGAAACATAGTTTTTATCTATCAACAATGGTTAATGTAAAACCTTGTTTATTATCAGTATTTCTTAAATCGTCTTTAGGTCTTGCGAAATATAGTGGTCTTGACATTGGTGAGGTGGTTGCTATTAATGTTTTTTATGACTTTTCTGCCTTCAATCGTGGACAGTTCGTTTTATTCATATTATTATAGCTCAACAAATATTTTTGATGAGGTTATATGTCCAAAGTGTTGGTTTTTAAAATTTTCTCTCTCTCTGTGCATTGTTTCTTGCTTTATTTTGTGCAAGCTTTCGAAATTTATGTATAATGAAGTATTCTGGATTTTCTAGTATTGTGGGAGATGTCGGTTGCACATCGATTGTTGCTGAAGATCATCAAGGTCAGATCATTCATGGACGAAATTTGGATTATAATATAGCTCCACTTCTGCGAAATTTAACAATCATTGCAGATTTTGCACGCAAGAAAAATGTGAAGTCTCTTTTAGATCTTCACTTAATTTCTAAATTCAAATAGAATTTATCCTCTTGCTCACGCTATAGAATTCTTGTACCCAAATATTTACATTAATCAGTCGCTTGTATAACTTTTGCTCATTCATTTATTATAAGTTTTAAATTTATCCTATAAAACTCCAGGTTTTAAATCTCTTGTCTATTTTTCAGTCAGGGCTAATTGTTTTTGATAATTTTTAAAAATTTTTTAAATCTCAATTTAGATTTTGTATTCTGGCGTAACTTTTGTGCTAAACGTTGGTTTACTAACGGGGCAGAGACATGATTCATTTTCAGTCAGTTTAAATGAGCGGTGTTAGTAACCACTTGTGTTTTTTGCTATGTATCTGTTATTTATGAGATTAGAATTTTTTGTTTTTAATTTTCGTTTTTTCAGTTTCTGGTTCCTATATCGATACAGTTTTAATGGCAATTCTAACACACTTTCAAAATCCAGTAACATTCGTTATTCGAATGGTAAATAAAGATTATATTTTAAATCAAAAGAATATATAGAAAGTTCTCAAGAAAATAAAAAGTGAACTTGTAGGGTTAAATGGTTTTGAAATTTGATTTGTTGACCAAAGTTAGGAAATCAAAGCTGGAAAGCTAACTTTATTGTTGTCTCGTACTGTGCAGATTTTGAAAAAATAATTATACAACTTTTCAGGTACTAGAAAAACAAGATACATTTGAAAAAGCGAAAGAAATATTAATGAAAAAGCATTTTATGGCTCCGTCATATTTAATCATAGCTGGTATAAAACCAGGACAAGCTTGCATCATTACAAGGTTCTACGTTTTTACATGTGTGATGGCAGTTTGCAGATTTTTGAATTTTTCTATTAAGTGTGAACCCATTTACTCTTGAAGTATTTTTTAGAAATCGCTTGAATACAGCTGACTTGAAATGCATTGATACTCAGAGTAATCAGTGGTTTTTAGTCGAAACTAATTTTGATCATTGGAAAGCTGGCAAAGGTAGACGTCGGTGTGTTTTAAATTTGGATATTTAACAGAGAAAAATTGTATTCCAGAACCGAAATTCATATATTTGAGAAATTAAGTGTCTTAGAAGATAACTAAAAATTTTTTAATGCTGGCTGAAGTGGTTAAGTCATTTACCCTTCAGGTGGATAGCTGAGAAAGCGCTCTTGAAAATTGGAAAATATGCTATTTCAAATAAGCGAATGCTCCAAATTCTTTCTCTTCATCCAGTGGAGAACAAGTGAGTTTTTTAGGGATGAGGGTCAGGAAAAAAATTAAATCATACACTTAAAAAGTACTTGTTTTGCTTGCATATCTGAACCCACTCGATTGATTTTTCTTTTGTTAATTCTAGAGCAAAGAAAGCGAAAATTGTTCTGTTACATAGTGCTGAGTGCAAATTATCTCATTTTAGATCCTATTGTTGATAATTCCAAATCTTGTGAAGTTAGAGTGCTGACTGTTTGTGAGAAAATATTATGATTTAAAATACTAGGAACTTAGCATAGAAAACTGGAATCAATTATAATTTCGTTATTTTTCAGTCACACAGTTTTTTCTACTGTAATGTCACCGCTTCAAAGTTCCACTCTCTACCATTACACTATTGTTCGAGATTGAATGTTCCACGATGAGAAGTTATTCTCTTTGATAGCACCGTTTTATCAGAAGGATAATGATTATTTTAAAGAAGGATAATTATTATTTTAAAAGCGGTTGTCAAACAATTTGAAAAGCACATATTCTGAATAAAAATTAAAAGTTTAGCTAATAATTTATTTTTCACGCCCAAAAAGGAGTTATTGAACTAAAATGTCGAACGAACCAGAATTTAAGCAGCTAAGCTGTCAGGAGAGGAGATTAAGGAATCTTTTAAAATACTCTGTGCAATGCCTAATTTTAACAATAAAAAAAGGAAAACCAAAATTTTCTACTGAAAGTGAGTTCTTAGAAACTTTGGTACAACTGGCAATTTTTAAATTAGAATCCAGTTCTCTTTTCAGTTGATAAGTCTAGTAGAAGTCAAGATTTGCTTTCGATAGATAATTGAAATAAAATTTTGACTCTAAAGCTCATTTTATTGAACTCAACACGAAGTGATGACATTATTTTGTCGCAGAATTAAGTTTACTAAATATAATACTAATCTTATTTTCAATTTCAGAACAGTAATGAATTTAGAAACTTGATGTTCCTTTAACAATTCTCAAGATACTGTCGATTAACATCTAGTATTATTATATGTATCTGAACTTTTTTCGGTTCTTCCTATCGCAAACTTTAGCACTGGAGATACTATGAACTACAGCAGTGATCAGAAATTTACATCAAATTTCATATATGATTTCATATATGAAATTTGAAGTATGTAGAAATGGGATAAAGCAGATGTGTATTTATTTCAAATTATTGAGTCTTGTTAGTCGAATTCTGTTTCATCAAACTATCGCTTAGAATTTTTGTTTTCATCAAAATGATATAATTGTAACTGTGGTCAAGAAGACTGAATAAATGAGTTTTCTTCGGGAAGGACAGTAAAGTAGTGGTAAAATGATTTGACCTTGACTGCATTCTCATAAAGAGGAGCTAGAGTGTGGGCATTGTTTGTTCAGTTCTCAGCTCATTAATTCATTTGTTGATTTGTATGATTTTTGAGTGCTAGCAATTTGACTCAAATATTGTTTGCAAGCAGTACCAAATAATGGAAGTGGTTGAGTTCGTAATGAAAAAAGGAAAAGCGATTGTTCGAGATGATATTTAATTTTTAAACATTTGGTAGGGAATTGTTGGAGTAATGGCATTTATTTTTTCACTGATATGAGACAGTGTGGAATGAATAAGATTTGGATTTTCTATCCGCCTATCATTCAAGATTATAGCTTGAGAACTGAAAACTGAGGGTCATTTTACATTTATTGACGTCATCACGGATTACATTCAGTGATGTGACTGATAACGGCTGCATAAAAGCGGTCTTCAAACATACATCGGCTACTTTTTCATTTCAAATTTGTAATAATTGCTGATATTTTATCAACTTTTATTTGTATGTATGTGTTTAAGATTTGGAGATTTACACTGATTATCGAAAATTATGTACATGAGCAATAGAAGTTGATTTTTGCGTTGAATTTTGTGTTTTTGCGTTCTCCTTGTACTCGGCTCGGCACTCAGTACTAATGGTTCCTGTATGCTCCATGGAACATCATTCTGCAACTTCATTTATTTTCCATTCGTTCTCGTTTATGGTTCCAGTTCGGTTTTTTTTTTTCGTTCAAACTTTGTGATACAATCTAATCAGCCAGCAACTCAACTGTTCGGCAATTCAACCGAGTTATAATATGTGTAAATGAAAATTGAAAAAAGTAAGTCAAGTCGAGTTGCAATGATATAAATTGCTTATGATATCAGTTGGGAAGTAATAAAGCAAAAGTAAAGGCTGAGCCAAAATGAAAAACAAGTCAAACGATAAACGCATGAATAAATATGGTGCATGGATAGATTTATGGATGAATGAATTAGTGAGTGAATGAGTTAGTGAGTGACGAATGAGTCGATTAGGTAGAGGCAAGTTCTGAATCGACGAATGCATATTTCAAGGGTCTAATATGAAAGGCTTAGTTCTTCTCTTAGAATGATTCAGTTAGAAAAATCAGATGCTGAATTACTCTGTGTCGTACCTACTCACTTAGCTATGCTATTAGAGCACCATATTTGTGAGAATTACATTCAGTGTTGAAACTCACTTCAAAATATTTCTTCTACATATCCATTCAATTCATTTTTTTCCCAAATAAAAATTGTTTGCAAAATTTACAATATTAAAACATTGTGATTAAAGTTTAAATATAATATTAACATTGCAATTGCTAATTATTTGATAACATTCTTTCACAATATTTTTGACTGTTAATGCCATCGCTAAGTTGTATTGTGAATTTTCAAGTCATTTAATTACTAGTGTGGAGATTTAGTTTGATGTAAATAGTCTGTCTTTTTTAAAGTTTAAAAATGATTAGATCTGTGCTTAGTAATTGATAATTTTTTTACTCCATAATTGGTAGCTACAAGTTGATGTTTACATAGTAGCTTCTAAACTATCACTGGATTTTAAAAATTAGTGTTTTTAGTTTGTCAGTATGAAAAAATCAGAAAAGATTTTGCGGATTATAAATTTGAAAAGTTAGTTTTTCTTGTTTATAATCCGTAAAATCTTTTTTGTTTTTTTTCATATTGAAGAAGTTGATGAATGAGTTAACATTCTTTAAAGCGTTTATTTCACGCATACATTATTCTCATTTTTAATGCCATATTGTTAAGTACTGCTTCTGTAAGGAATATGAATAAATGATTACTTGTTACAATAATTGATCAATTGTAAATCATATTAGGTTATTTTATTTATTAGAAGTGTGTATTTATTCAGATTATTTACCTGCTCGTAAATGGGATTTTTAATTTTTCCTAAAGTGCAAGATTTTTTAATAAATTTCTGATTTGTGAAATATTATTATTTACTCATGTAAGTTAATACGGCAGCACTCTATAATATAAGTTTTAAAACTAAATGTAATGTCATATCATAAACTCTGATGATATCTAAAATGTGATCTGGAAAACTTGTCATTCATCATGAGCCGCTGGCAATAATAGCAAATTTGCAAGCAGAATGATTTTAGCATTATAGCACCAAAATAGTAAGATGTTAAGTTTAAGAAACATTTATGAGATTCTATCCCTGGGGAATTAATATTTTGGATGAGTTTCACTTCTTGGCATCAACATTTGTTAAAACAAAAAAGTCACTATGATTAGATCCTATTCATTTCTGCTTTGTCTTATTACTTTCTTTAATTGCAGCATGGCTTATCAAGTATTTTCATATTATATCTATTCCTATACTTGTATACTTTCTTTAATATTCATGCCAAGTTTTAAAAGGAAGTACCACTTTTTTTAAAATTACCACAAAACATCGGTTATAAATGATTTTATTTTTAAAATGATAACCGCTTAAATGATTATTTTTTTGTCATATTTTTGAAAATATCCAAATTTAAGAATAATTATTCTATTAGTAGACATTTGGAGATTTTGTTCGCTTGATTTGTTACTAAACTTTGTGGAAGACTAATCCAATTTCTTTGTAGGCTTTCATCAGTAAGTGCAAATTCTGATAATCAAATGCAAGCATTTCTGTTGACAAATGAAAGAAAAAGTTAGCAAAAGTTAATTTATTCCAATTATCAGTTGGTATTTATTATGTGTTATTTTCTATCCATACAAACACTTTTCATTTCATTTCTATTTACTTGTTAATTCTAGCAATAAATAATGTCATTTATTGCGATAAAGAAGTAAAAATAGATGATGGCAAAGCCAGAAGCAAGTCTGGAATCTTAACATAGAGCTGCATGTATGTGTTTGCGTGGCTGCAACTTTGGAAAGACTTAGACTTGATGCTTTCTTAGTCAAAGACGCAATTTAAGCCAAATCTGCAATATAGTATTCTAAGTAAACACTTTATTGTGCTTCTCATCAAAACACGTTAAAAGACTTATACTGTGTGATGTATTCATAAAACAAGATGGATGTCAGTCAAGAAGGCAGAAATTCAAATTTAGCATTTGTGAGGTTAGCATTTTAGCTCAGTCAAAATTGGAAAACAATCCCAAGACATACTTTAATTTCTTTCAATAGGCATTTTTCATTTGTATTAAGCAGGAAAGTACTTGTAATACAACATTTCAATCTCTTTTAACCTTCTTTACGCAGCTTTTCGTTAAAAATCACTTAATTTTAATGAAAAAAAATGCAAATTTTGCAGATTTTTGTTGTTAAAAAGTGGAAGTGAAAATTTTTAATTGTTATTCGCCTGCATTTCAGATTAAAAAAGTTATTGTCATTAGAAAAGATTGTTGTCATCTAAAAGTAATTACTTTCATTCAGGCATCATTTTTAAATTCAAATATCTTGACAAGCACTTGTTTCATACACTTCTCTCGATGAACTTAAATGTCGTGTGAACATATTTGTTTGCAAATAGAGCTCATTAACGACATTTTTCACAGTAATTAGTATATTAAATATATATATATATATATATTTAAAGCAGCCTAGAGAGAACTTCTGTATAGCGAAATCAAAAAGAAAATGTGTCAAACAAAGCTATGCAAGATGCGCAGTAATGAGATAATTCAACAGCAGATTCAATAATGTGACCAAGATTCGCAAACATTACACT